AGTGCCTCAAATAATATTACCTTCAATAGGAGGATACCTATGTTTTAACCCAAAAAAAAAAGTTAACCACTCATATTAGCAGGGTTAGATCTAATAGAAGAATTTAGTTTTTCACAATGTGATGAACCAAGATTTAAATTTCGGTTAGGAGAAGTGCTTACATTTAGTATTCAATAGTATTTCAAATAAAGTTACTTTTAATAAGATGATATATGTGCCTAAAAAAAAAAGGATTGACCATTGATGAAAATGGATAAAGGAGAGGAAGAAGTTAGAGAAAAGGCGAAGACATAACGATCTGGAGAGGGAATGCCTTAGAGAAAGAAGGGGGAAGGAGAGGAACAATTATTGACGAAGAGGCATGGTCTGTAGTGAAGGAAGTGTGGTGAAAGGAAGGAGGCACAAAATTTAGAAGACGCAAAGGAAATGTGGTATCTTTAGCATAAGTAAGTGTTAGGACCCATAGCCCCACTCTTATGAATCCTGAATACTATTACCAGTGTAAATAATCAATCAAACGAACACACATGATGGTAATGTAATTAAGATTACAATTCTCCTAGGAATATGAAATTAAATCAAATGGGGCAATTGTGTCATCTTCATTGCAAGGGTGATTACATTTCTCATTAATTTTGTGATAGTTTGCAAATAAATATTTGGGGTTAATACTATTTTTTATTACTCAAGTTTGTCATTATTTTGGTTTTGATCCTTTAAATTTCAAATCATAAGTTTTGGTCCCTCATATCTCTTTTTATTTAAAATTGATGTCTATAATTCAATAAAAATCTGAACCATTTTGTTTTTTGAGGGATTAAAACTTATAATTTTAAACCAAAACCAAAATAAGGACAAACTTGAGCAGTATATAATATCTAAATAAACTATGCGTTTGAATATCAAATTCAACTACAATTGGTGGAATAAATTTTGAGTCATCACTTCATCTATTCAATGATCTATTGATTTTAAAAATATTAATGACCAAATATTAAAACATTTTTATAGGTTAGAAGCGCCTAGTTTTCATGAAACTACAATATAACAAATTACCTTTACCCTTAAAATCTTTAATGTTAAGCTTTGAAAGATTATTTGCAAGTTATTATATAGTAATCAGTAAATAATGAAACAAGAATGTCAAATATTAGCAACTCATACTCCCAAAATTTTACATTGACTTTATGAAATTCGACACTAAAAATTTGCAATTGGCATTTTAATTTTTAACCAAAAAGTTTAATAAAAATATTTAACTGGTACATACATATACACAAGAATTTCATGATAAATCTCCAGAATTTGATAGTGACTGAAATATTAAACAAAATTGTTGGGAAGATTTGCCATTCATTTTTCTTAATTTATTACAGACGACTATACGGCAACTAATCAGCATAGAATATTTTAGGGGAGAAGAATAATATGATCATTAAGATCACAGGTTCTTTACTGAAATTTTAAAATTTCTTTTTCCCCAATTTGTCATTCACCTAAAATATAATTGGTGCGGGATTCTTAGTCATGAGCAAGAAAATTATCTTAAATATATTAATTATTGAAATAAATAAATACTATCTCTGGTTTTTAAAATAAGAGATAGATAATTAATTTGTGAATACTAAAAAAATTAGTTGTTTATTATAAATAAGTATTGTCTTTCTTAAAATACCTTTATTAACCAAGTGTGTTAGAACTATTATTTGATAAAAACCCTTCAACATATACAATAACCATGAGACTACTCTAAGAAAAAATGAATAAATATAGGAGACGATAGATTGGGGTCTTATATTTAAAATCAAATTAAATTTCTAATTAGCTTTTATATTAAACACTAAATATAATATATAAATAAGGGTTAATATTGTTTTTAGTTCTTAAAATTTGATTTCATTTGTCTAAGTATTTTGATATCCATGAAATTTAAACCAAAACTACTAATCTTAAATTTGAGAAAATAAAATTAAAAGGAAATCAAATTTTTAGGAATTAAAGATAATATTTACCAACAAATAAAATAGGAATTACAATTAAGGAAGACTTACAATCAAATCCTATGAAAAAAAAAATACAAAAAAAATTTTACATGTTGTCATTTTTTATTATAGGATTTATCATTACATGCTGTTTGAAGTTGTTATTAGATTTTTTTACTAATTATTTTTTTCTGCAAGAGCTTATTGTAATTTTCCCTGCAAGTAAAGCACGACGGAAGGATGATGGACGGTTCGACAAATAAGGCAACGACACTGCCACAAAGTGGGGTTATTGCCTTATTGGCGTCTGGATGTGCACCGACTTCTTGAGGGTACAGATTTACCATTTTGCCCTCCACTCCATAATAACGGATTACCCCAGTCATCATACGGAGCGCTGACTACTAACTGCTTAACAGAACAGTCAACTAACGAACAGCCTTCTCTTCTTTCATGGCTTTTGGAATGAACAACAATTTTTTCCCAAAAAAAAAAAAAGACTTCCGTTTTTTATTTAAGTCAAATAATCTAATATTGATTTTAATTAATATATACTAAATTATATAATTCTGGAATAATGATTTTTAATGAAATCACATCTCTTTTCTACCAAATTATTATTGAAAAACCATATATTTATCGTCTTAGACTGATCGGCAATTTTGCATGTAGGAGAATTATTATAGCCTACAATTTGAACTTTTGAATTCATTTACCAACTCAATTACCCTAACTCTAAAAATTTTATGTGTTAATTTATTTTGGAAAATATATTAAAATTAAAAATCTGTCTTTAACTCTAAATGTAGTTTAGTTCTAATTATTTTATTACAATTAAGAAAGGATAATTAAATTATTAAAATTATATGTAAATGAAATGAATTGCAAAATTTATCTCTGGTTAAAAAATGAGATTAAAGTGCATCTTTTTATCTACTCTTAGAAATTTGGAAACAAGGATAAATTTCAAAAAATGTTCATTGTTACTACTCCTCTAATTTTCTTTTTTTTTTAGGAAAAATATTTCTTTCAATCCCAAATATAAGATTTATTTTGTAGTATTTGGACAAAATATTTTTTTCAATTTTAAATATAAGACTTATTTTGTAGTGTAATTTACACTATAAAATGAGTTTTATATTTAGAACCGGGAGAGTAATATCGTATAAAATTATTTATTTGTTTCAAAGCATGAACAATTGCTAAAAAGACTGTTATTTATTTTGTAAAAGTAAAAACATTTTAATTAAGTGCTTAGTTTTATAGTGAGTTACAACTACATTGAGCTCTCAAATAAATAGTCACAGTCATTAAAATAAGATAAGAAAAGCATATAACACTTTACAAAGCATATGACTCAAGGATAATTGAGAGGCTATTATTATCCATATTACTATGATAATTGGAGAATCATTCTAGTTGGGCCCCATCAACCTATGATGACCAAAACGCCATCCTTTATTCAGCGGAAAAAATATTAAATTTAAATCTTAATATTTCATTTTATTTTATTTTTATCAAAATGTATACAATAAGAAATAAAAATAATCTTAATTATCATTTTTAAATAATGATGTTTTAACATGAGAAAAAAAATTGAAAATTTAACCTATTCTTGTTAAGTACTCATAATTCTAATTCAATTTCATTAATTATGAATATAATTATAATATATTTATATAAAATATAAAAATAAAGATAAAAGAAGAGAATCGAGTTTCATACACACAGGTTCGTTTGTAACATATTTTCTTTAAAAAGTATAGTTGGATAATTGTAGAATAATAAATTTATTATATTTTCTTGGCTACATTTGTTTGGTTTTATATTCATTCTAACCATATAAACACATGAAGAGTTAACCCAAAATTAAGGGTAAGAGTGCATCCAGCACCATGATTTTATTTCTTAGATGCAACCATTACTCTGATCTTATTTTGTTAGGGTGCTGGATACACTAAAAATAAGATTAGAGTGTTAGTTGCACAGAAAAAAAATATCAAGGTACTGTATGCACCATAAAAATGATTAAGACGCTAGACGTGCCATAAAAAAGATCGGAATGCTGGACACAATTGAAAAAAAAAGATTGGGATGCTGAATACATGTTTACCCAATAAAGTATTGTCATGGTTAAATTTAAATTTTATATAAATAAACCAAATTCATATAGTGGGGTTAACATATCTTAAGACATTATGATACGATGATTCATGCTTTCATAACATATCTGCAAATATATGCAGAGGGCAAATGCGAAAGGGCAATTGAAAGAAAATTGTAGTATTGTTTCCTATTTTTAATATAAGAGTTATTTTGACATTCAATTTGATTTTAAATTTAAATATAAAATCCTAGTTCATTTTATTTCTTATATTTATTTATTTATTTTTTAAAGTAATCCTTGTAATAGTTGCACATGTCAAAAATTTCATCAAATGGTACTTACAGCTAATATATACAATTAGCGAGAGTAATTTAGGAAAAACAAAACCTATTTATTACAAATAACTAATTTAATTAATCTTTAATATATTTAAATAAATTAATTTTTCTGTAATAATCTACTTGCAAAGATTATATCCCAATTATATACATATTGATTGATATTTTTCTGTAAGTATATAAAAATAAATATAGTAAATAAGTTTTATGGGATGAATAGACCAAAATTTTATTAGGGAAATTTCTTAATTATTAATTAGAATCAAGTTAGGAAGAAAATATCTAAAGGATATGAAGCAAGTTGGGGATTTGATTTGAATTACGAAGGTCAAAGATCTTTCTACAAGAATGGAAAGAAAGATAGTAACATACTAACATATCGGTCATAAATAAATAATATTAATATAAAATTAAAATCTGTTAAAAGACAAAATTTGTGCCAACCCTTCACCGTCGGCACTGAGATTTGGGGAGGATATAGGTGTCATTGTAATAAAGCTGAGACCCATTTTCGCCATTTCAATATAACCCATTGCTCAGGCACGCCCACCTTCTTCCCTCCCCTCACTGAAAGAACCACAGACGAGAGTAGAGCAAGAAGCTCTGCACTGTGGCACTGTTACTAGTGCTTGTCCCTCTCTAATGGCGACTCGAATCCCTTCGCATAAGCTTAGCGGTGGCCTCTACGTTTCGGGTCCACCGGAGCAGCTCAAGGAGCGACAGCCAACAATGGCGTCGCGCGCCGTCCCCTATACCGGCGGCGACATCAAGAAATCCGGTGAGCTTGGGAAAATGTTCGATATTCCACTCGCTGATCCATCTTTGAATGCTTCTTCTTCGTCTAAATCCTTGCACGGTAGTGGAGCAGCGCGCTCCGGAACTGATTCTGGTGGTGCCCCGGGGAGACGCCGTGGGTCGGGTCCGATGATAAAGAAGCAATCGTCCGGCCCGTTGTCCCTGCAGCCTACGGGACTTATCACGTCGGGTCCAATAGGATCCGGGCCGATTGGATCGTCGGGAGGTGGGGGAAGGAGGTCGGGTCCGCTGGAGCAAGCTGGTTCAATTGGGAAGACTGTTTACGGCTCAGCCGTTACAAGTTTGAAGGACGAGGAAGTGAAGGTTGGGTTTAGAGCGTCGAAGGCGGTGGTATGGGTTTTGTTAGTAATTGTAGCAATGAGCGTGCTAGTTGGGGTGTTTCTGATGGTCGCAATGAAGAAAGCGGTGGTTCTGGTGGCTGTAGCGGCAATTATTATGCCTGTAATGCTTTTTGTTATTTGGAACTTCGCGTGGAAAAGAAGAGGTCTATTAGGGTTTGTGAAGAGCTTCCCAGATGCTGAACTCCGAGGCGCCATCGATGGACAGTACGTCAAGGTTACCGGGGTAATGTCTCAGTCCTATTATTTTCTATCATAATCTTAAGAATTTAATTGTCGCCGAGTAGTTAATGTTTTCCTTCGATCTGTGAATCGTTAATGCGAGAGAATGATATTCGTAATTAATTATGCATTTGAAGTCATGGCTTTGTTTCAACTGCCTATTTACTTATTTTATCGAGTCCATACAATGATTAATGCTGATCGTTGTCCTTTTAATAAATATTTCTTTTTTAAATTAAAAATAAAAACTATTTGTTAGGTATGGAGTTGATTGTACATGACGAATAGAGTTACTTAGTGATTGTGACTCCCTCTTTCGTGATTATATCTTGTATTGAAGCATAACTGTCTCACTAATTTAGCTTGTAAAAATGGTAATTTTTCTAATGATGGGATCAGGGACCATGCGTTACGGTATTAAATGAAGGGCAGAAAGGGTATAGCTTAGTAAGCTGATTGTTTAGAATACTTATTGTCCCCAAAAAATAATAAAATTTTGGCTACCATGATAATCTGAAATGGAATCCTTGTCTTTCCTTCTTGCTTCCCAATTCATAATGCATTGTCTTGTTTTGTGAAGTCGTATTTTCACAAGCGAAAGCCACAGAATTTGCTTGTCAGAGCACCTTGTTTTCTGCTTCACTGTCTCTCATTGTCTCGTTGCTCAATGCAAGTTTTGGCAATACTATAATGTCCTATTTAAATGAATGCCTTTATCAGGCTGCACAGAAAAATATGTCCTGGTCATCGGGGATATTTTAGGTTTTTCATGTTACTCTTTTAATTGGTATTACTTACTGAGCAGGCATGTGCTCTGGTCAAGGCATGAATTTTGGATGTTTAATACAGCTTTTGGTGCTTGCTTTCTACATTATTTCATTAACAACACCTCACAAATAATTTATAAAAACATAATGCTAAAGAGGGACCCTGATTATTGCAAATGTGAGAGGATGCACCAAAAGCTGCTTTTGACACTCAGAATCCGTGCAATGCATAGTTGCGACATAATCTTTATTATAATGATTTTTCGGTAACATTTATTATGTTTGATTTTGTTATCACTGAAAAATAATTGTCTCCTGCTGCTACATTTTTTCAGAGTTACAAGGGTCATTTCTCATGTAAAATTACCCTTTTTTTTAAGAAAAAAATTCCATTGCATTTCTTCTCTTAATCTCATTTCATTTTTCATGCCAAACAAATAGGCTTTGTTCCTTTCTTTATGTTCACACTGTAAGGCAATTAACAATACCATTTTGTGTAAAGTCGATTATGTGACAAAGATACATGCAGTGTTTGTCCGTTTGCTCATTTTTCAGAAATACATTTGAATTGCGTTTGCAATTTTTCTGTGATAGAACAGTCTTCGTTGATATAATTTGGTGATAACTCCAGTGAATAAATCATTGGGATCCCACTGTGAATATTTAGTCAGACTGATGATGTATCCTCTCTCTTCCTATAGATTGTGACCTGTGGCAGTATTCCTTTGGAATCCTCATATCAGAGAGTACCTAGATGTGTATATGTTTCCGCAGAACTATATGAGTATAAAGGATGGGGTGGTAAATCAGCAAATGATAATCATCGATGCTTCTCCTGGGGTTCTAAGTATTCTGAGGTTAGTTCTTTGAACTAATGTATCAAATATTTATCTCGCTGATAATCCTATGAACAGGCCCTTTACTTCATTGATTCTATCAAATCCATATGGTATGTAGAATGCAATAAAATGGAAAGAAGAATGAAACCGGAAAAATAGTTACCTGAGAGATAAATGTCCCTAAATTTATAGGGTAAAGTTGCTAATAATTGACATTACGTGTCTATGGTGCAATGGAAATGTATTGTCTTTTCATTGCTTTAACCAGTTACACCCTGAGTGTCCACGGATTTTGAAGATTGCCTGAAACCAAAAAGCTGATGAGGACTGAGATAATTGTATGAAAGATGATTGTTGAAGAGCTTAACAAAATTAAAGGTACAATAGTGAGATGATGAAGGAATAACATGATTGTTAAAATCATACAGTTACACAGCCCAATAAAATTAAGTAGAATTTAGAATTAAGGCTTTGTTCGATTCCCCTTGATTATTAGATAGACTTTATACCCGCTAGCAAGCCTGCGTATTGATTTCCGTGATTTCGTTAATGTCCTTGCCCCCCATCTTGTTTAAAAGCTAATGGTGGAACTTAATAGTAGTTTATTGCTTTGACAATTTCACTGTAGTTCTTACTAATCTAATGCCAAACCTTTTTTCCTTCATTCCAGAAAAAAAGTTTCTAACCCGTCCCAGTAAAGCAATGGATCAAATATGTCCTGAGTTTAAGTCTCAAATGGCGTCCTGTGTCAGTTAACCTTATTTAGTCTATACGTTGTTGTCAAATTATGGAAAGTGATCTGGTGTATTGATTTACAATTCTTATAATTATTTAGCCATTATGTTAGTAATACTGATTGAAATATCTTCTGGGATGGTCAGTAAGATATGAAACAATCAACACTAGGAACCAGAAATACAATTATCGTCATCAAGATTGGAGCATTATCCATCATTTGGAGCGTCTTTGCCTGCTTAAGATTTTGAGCTTCTGTCACGATTCATCCCTGCTATGATTATCAATGCATTGTACTTCTTCGGTTAGTGAATCAGTGGGCAGATCTTATCAACTTGGTGAACATATCGGAATTACTTTGCCCTCTGTAATTGCATGATGATTGTTTATAGCCTCAATATCATCTTCCCATGTTCTGCATTGCTTTCATCTTTCTTCATTGTCAACAATTTTTTTGTTTACTGTGGACAGAAATATGTAGCAGACTTTTACATATCAGACTTTCAGTCTGGGTTACGAGCTTTAGTGAAAGCAGGCAATGGTGTTAAGGTTGCTCCTTTTGTGAAGCCAGCTACTGTAGTCGATGTAAACAAGGAAAACAGAGAGTTGTCTCAAAATTTCTTAGGCTGGCTTGCAGACCGTAAACTCTCTAGTGATGACCGTATAATGCGCCTGAAGGAAGGGTATGCGATGCATTATTTTGACTTACATTCCTTTCAAGTTGCATTTCTTCTTTCAATTTCCCGGTGCATTATTCGGATGACATCATTATCGAGTGTAATTGCTTGTGAATATATTCTTCTGAAGAGAAAATAGGTGAGTCACATACACGATCCCCCCCCCCCCCCCAAAAAAAACCCAAAAAAAAAAACAGCACACTCTAATTTGAATCTTCTCCATTTATATGCTTTTTTGGAGGGATAGTGATGCAAGAAAATGTGGTTAAGCATGGGATTTACGTCTTATCATTACATGCACTTGCTCTTGTTTATGCTTGATAGGATTTTTGCATTACATAACAAGTAAATATCGGGAATACCCAGGTACATAAAAGAAGGGAGCACCGTAAGCGTGATGGGAGTGGTCCGCCGACAAGATAATATGCTCATGATTGTTCCCTCTACCGGACCTGTATCAGTAGATTGTCAATGGAAGCGATGCCTCCTTCCAATGTATGTAGAAGGCCTTATTTTGTTATGTGAGGATAATCAGGATGCTGATGTGATTCCTGTGTAGAACACCTCCTCCGAGTCTTTGCACGGAAAATCAGGTTCAAGAATCTGGAGATTTATCAGATTAGAAGATGCTAAGCAGAATATGATGATAACGAGGATATGATCTTGTTCATGATTAATATGATGTCCATATAAATATGGAGATCCATCGATTCTGACTATGAAGGAAGCTAGAAAATGTCCTATAGCCACGCAGTTTCCTCTTTCCTATGATTTTTATTATGTAAATAGGCAAACATAATATTCTTTCGTTTCAGCTGATTCTAGCAGTTAAGGAGTTTTGTCGTTTAATATGAAATTGTTTCATGATGGCTGATATTAATGCGAATATATTGGGTAGAACGCAATTTGATAGTATCTGTAAAAAATTGAGTTTCATATGCTGGTAGAATGCCACTACAATAAGTGGAAAGTCTTGGATCGGGCTTTTTATTGCCTTCACTTTGCATTCATTTTCTGATCTTGCTTGCTCGCTTCTTATTACTCTCAAAAATGCAATTTGAATGTTTTTTTTTTTGCCTGAATTTTCAATTTGAATTGCTTTCAAAACATCTCTCTGCAGAAAATATACATTTTGCCTGGGTCGTCTGTTTTATTAGATTTTGGGGAGACTGATACAGGTTAACTGTTATTTTCGGACTGAAAATATAGTTCAGCAGATGTGACATTACCTTCCGATATGAAACTATTTTTCTTCTTTTTATGCACGCGCGCGCGCGCGCACACTAAACACTCTTTCAAGTCTGGTTTTATCAAAAACCCAAAAGGAGACATCTTAACACTATTTAACTCATTCTCAACCAAATCCCGTGAAAATTTCAATTTGCAGCATGTGAAATTTACCACTTCTGCTGTGTTATGCTAACTCGTAATTTTAATTATTATTAGTTTTATTTATATTACTTTTTTCAGCACAAAGATAAAAGAACAGTTTATTCCCAATAGGTTTTTTAATTCCACAATATTCAATTTTAATTTTATGCAGCAAACGAGCACAACACTCTACACTATTCATCATCAAGGGATCTTGATTGAACCACAAGATTAACTCTAAAATGAAGGCCGTAGAAAAGTAGCCGCCCCAAAGATGTGAAAATGACGCAGAAAGCCGTCCCCACGAAGAATTGTGCTTTGCTCTCTCTGGTGTTTTTGCAGCGAAGGGGATTTGAGTTAAAGTCCCACATTAAGGGTCTGTAAATGGAGAGCTCAAGCATTGTTTTGTCGTCTATTGGAAAGCCCAATGCCTTTAGTCTTTATTTTCCAGAACCGAAACTAAAATAAAATATAAGCTGTCAGATTTTCACTGGCTTTTAACAGGTTTAAGCTCATGCCTATATAAAAGCCTTGCAGACTAGGCTTAGGCCCATGTAGTTTGAGCTAACGAGGGGAGGATCTTGATGACACTGTGGAACTAGGCCACTGGGCACTGCGTACAAGCATGGTCTAATATTTGAGGTTTAGGTTGCTTGATTGCATAATGAATTCCATATCACGAACTAAAGTGTCTATACCACTTCATACCCCACCTATAGTTATTATTCCAACAGAATGTGCATAACTAAAAGTAAATGAAAATATTCATCATTATTTCTTTTTTGCAGCTATAATTTCATTATTTAACAAAAAGGGCATGAGACCAGTCTTGTACTAACCCAACCACAGAAGCACATCGTGACAACAAATTGAAGCTAAAGCCTGGAGGGAGATCCTCCGGCAACCACCAGAGTTTCTCCTGTTATATAAGCTGCATCATCTGACGCCAAGAAGGCGGTGGCGGCTGCCATGTCTTCGATTGTCCCAAGCCTTTTCAACAATGTCTTCCCTTCAAGTTCGTTCCTCTGCAGTGGCACACAGTCGCATCATATGATAAATAACAGATAAGGAGACTTGGAACAAGAGGATGAAGCTATTTAGAGCTGGTTTCGTACATAGAATGGAACGAAATAGAACAAGTGAATGCAATGGAAAAACTGATATTTTAGATGTGTCTTTTTTATGCCTTCAGATGAAAAAATGTAATAAAAAGATAATTACTGTAAACTAATGATAATAGAGACAGATATGACATATATCAATTCTTGTGCAATTTCCATTATTTTTTACTTTTTTTTTGGGGGGGGGGGGGTGGGGTGGTTCAAAATACTCACCACAGCTTCATTATTGGTAAGGAAGGAAGCAAAATGAGTTGGCACAAAACCAGGAGCAACACAATTAACACGAGTACTTGGGGCCATCTCAGCTGCCAGAGCCTAAGCAATGAGTTAAAAAAACATATAAAATTTAAAAAAAAAAAATCTCAATTTATCAAAATATTGATGAAACAGGTGCAGCCGAAGTACCAACTTTAGTAAGTCCAAAAAGGGCCGTTTTGGTCACTCCATACATAGCCATTGCAGCTGGCGGGTTAAAACCAGCTATAGAGGAAATAAGAACAACAGAAGAACCCTTCTGCAAGTAAGGAACTGCATCCTGCAAAAAACGCAAAGCAGAAAACACACTGAACGATTCAAAAGCCAAAAAAAAAAAAAAATTCACAAAGTGGTGGCAAAAGGGATTATGCTAAAGCAGATTTTTCTATTTCTTTCACAGTTGGTTTTGGCCCTCTGTCACTGAAATTACCTTCAGAAGAATTATAGAGGCTTTGACATTTACTTCCCACTGTTTGTCAAGGATGGAGTCCGGGGTTTGCAGTAAGTTATCAACAGAGGGATTTGTAGCAGCATTGGACACAATAACATCTATCTTTCCATATTTCTGTAAAAAACCAGAACGCTTAACCACACCTTAGAATGGAACACAAGCATTTATGATGATTGATTAATAAGGAGATTACAAAATTAGATGCACTTTGAGAAACATAAAATAACTGTCAGTCCAATCAGCAGATAAAGATATTGTGAAGAGATAGTAAAAGGCATCAGAGAATAAACACCAGGGAGAATATGTCCATACAAATTAGAAACAAATACAACAACAAAATCTGATCAGATTAACTCTTCTGTAAAATGTTGATCAGTGCCTACTTGTAGTAATACACTGACGAATCTGCTTATAGCAGTATCAAATATAAAATATTAACTAACTTAGAGTAGCAGGATTGATGTCATTTCAAGACTTCAACTTTATAAAATTTATTAGTGAACGAATTTTGCATTTATCAGTTAGCTATTGAAGGAATAATTACCTGTACGGTTTTGTCTATCAAATTCTTCCTTTGTTGTGAATTTGAGACATGACAAACAAGAGCCAATACTTCAATTCCTTGAGCTCTGAGCTTCTCAGCAGCGTCATCTACATTTTTCTGTGGTCATTAAACCAAAGAGAAAATAGTTTCAGCAATATGAACATCACTGTAGAAGCATTACAGGACAAATTTAATGATCCTTTGAAGTGTAAACACAATAAGAGATTGGCTTTTCTATCTACGGAAAGATGTACAATTAAGAAAGTTCACAATTACAGTAGATATACTAAGAGCAAATCCGAGAAAACTTTCAAGAAAGTTCTTATCAAGTTCTTCAATAGGAAATGAAATGTGGAATTTTTTACGGGTGAGCTTAGCAGATTTGAGTCCTTGCAAAAATTTCCAGACGGAGTAATCGGGTAAAGAAGTTGACCTCCGGTCTAATAATACCTGGTATACAGGGTATTCATTCAGTACTATTTCCCAAAGTGAGGAAAGCAAAAATTGATCTAAAATCATTTCAGTTTTGCAGAAAAAATCCAAACCAATGATTAGTATTCTATCAATTAAACCCACGAAGCAAGAAATCCGTTTTCCTCTTCTTCCTCCATCATATAGCCTTAATTAACATATCAATACCAGTATTTAATACAGAACACAACATCTATAGCAAGCTGCAATGTTCTCAGGTGGTAAAATAATACATATTATTTTATGCAACTTCACAGAGATCAATCAGGACTGCAATTGAGACAAAGAATGCAAACAAATTAAAGAAACTTAGGAAGCAGAACATGATTGAAATCGCAACAATTTTTTAAGATTTTATGCTAAAAAGGAAAGAAACGACGAACCTGTTTACGAGATGAGATGACAACAGACGCACCCTCGAGGCCAAGCCTTTGGGCTATAGCGAAACCGATGCCCTGAGTAGAAGCAGTAACAATGGCGACCTTACCCTGAAATCTCTTACCGATCTTCGACTTGTCCATTTCTATTTCTTCTGGGGCTATGACTTTCGTAGTAGTCCGATGAGCCGCCTTTTTGTCTATAAATTTGACTCACTTGTGAGTTTCTATTACATTGCAATTTTTGGGGTTCGTATTTCGTAATTTCGCAACAGAAAACAAAGCCCCGCCTCTAAATTATTGTAATTTTCGATATTATCCAAATCACACGAACCTCCTCGGTATATTCGATTTTGTATGCATAGGTCACAATCATTTTGTTGGATTAGCTATTTAATTAATTTGAATAAATTAAAAATTAATTAATTATAACAAATATAATATGATTGTTTTAGGAAAAAATAAAAAAATAACTGTTGAATTTTAAAAAAACAAATGTGTTATGTTTATTATTCTTGTAATAATTAATTAATTATGACTACTCTTATAATGGTTTTAACATATTAAAATATATCAAAATCGCCTATTTATTATTTGAAATTTAATAGATATTTTTTTAATTTTTTTTTCTATTTTTAAAAAATAATCTTGTATAATATCAAATTATATATATTTGCCAACAAAATTATTTATCAATTTATCAGTTAGATAAATTAATTTAGAAAAAATGATTATAGATAAAATAAATTGATGTTCATACTAGTGTTTGGTTTGTCATGAAAGTACTTTTTAAAAAGTATTTTTACGTAAATTGAGACAATTTGTGGCACATATTTTTTATTATTATTATAAAATCACTTTTAAAATCATGTTTTGGTTTCTATTCAAAATATAACTTCTGTTATGAATAAAAAAGAATAGTAGAGAGGAAAAGAAGATTAATAAGAGGGAGTATTTCTCATTCCATTCAAGTGTACTCAATACATTATACATGACCTCTATTTATAGGCACAGTTTTATATCTTTGATAGAATCTATAGATAACATAATAATAAAAGACAATTGCAGATAATAGGGATAATAGAAGATATTGAAGATATTAGGAGATAAGGGAGATAATGATAGATATATGGATATCTATAAAGATATTATATTCATAACACTCCCCCTTGGATGTATATACTAAATATGTGCCTAATTAAAAAAACTTCTACTAAGAAAATCCTATGGGACAAAACCTAGTAGAAGAAAAAGAGTGTAACATTTATGGATATATTTTATAGTGCTGCCTCGTTAAAAACTTTACTAGGAAAACCCAATGGGAAAAACCATAGACACGGAAAAAACGAGTACAGCATGCATTTACTTCCTCTCTTGACAATGTCAGTTGATATTTCTGAGTTTGCGAAGCCCAATGTCATGAACAAGTCTCTCGAATGTGGTGGCTGGAAGTGATTTGGTGAATAAGTCTGCTAAATTTTCACTGGAACGAATTTGCTGGATATTGATTTCACCATCCTTTTGAAGGTCACGAGTGAAGAAGAATTTTGGGGAGATATGCTTTATTCTATCTCCTTTGATGTACCTTTCTTTTAGTTAGGTAATACATGCAGTATTATTTTTTATATAGTGTTGTTGGGATCATTTTACCAGAAGACAAGCCAAAAACAGTTCGTATGTGATATAGTAAGGACCTTAACCATACACATTCCCGACTTGCTTCATGCATTGCTAGAATCTCTGCCTAGTTAGATGATGTGACAGATATAGTCTGTTTCATAGATCGCTATGAAATGGCTGTACCACCACGTGTGAATAGATAGCCAGTTTGTGATTTACCAACATATAGGTCAGGCTAAAATCTTGAATGCATTCGAATAAAATAATCCCATGTCTATTGCACCCTTAAGATAAGGAAGGATGTGTTTAATTCCATTCTAATACCTTCGTGTTGGTGAAGAACTATATCTTGCTAGCAAGTTGACTGCAAATGATATATCAGGTCGCGTATGATTAGCAAAATACATTAGTGCTCCAATTACACTAAGATATAGTACTTCTGGACCAAGTAGCTCTTCATCACCTTTTCCCTTGATTTCTTGAGGTCTAAAAGGGTGTCCTTATCTACCTTCAAATATCTTTCAACTATTGGAGTACATAATGGATGTGATTTATCCATATAAAAACGTTATAAGATCTTTTTTGTATAAGTTTCTTGATATATAAAAAATTCTATTTTTTAAATACTCAATTTGTAATCCAAGGTAAAATTTTGTTCTTCCTAAATCCTTCATTTCAAATTCTTTCTTTAGGCGATTCACTGCCATTTCAAACTCTTCAAGAGTTCTAATAATATTTATATCATCAACATACACAGCGATTATAATGAACTCATTTTCTGATCTTTTCATAAAAATACATGGGCATATTGCATCATTTTTATATCCTTCCCTCAATTGATACTCAATAAGCCTGTTATACCACATTCGTCCTGATTGCTTTAATCCATATAGGGATTTGTTTAACTTAATTGAGTATCATTCTCAAGAGTTTCAATTGTATGCTTCTGGCAATTTCAGCCCTTCAGGGAGTCTCATATAAATATCATTGTCAAGTGAGCTGTACATATAGGCTGTAACAACATCTATTAGATGTAAATTGAGCCCTTCATTTACTGCGAGGCTAATCAAGTATCGAAAATAGTTGCATCCACTACTGGTGAATAAGTTTCTTCAAAATCGATACCAGATCTTTGTGTAAACTCTTGGGCAACAAGTCATGCCTTATATCTTATGATTTCATCCTTTTCATTTTTCTTTTGCACAAAAACCCATTTATATCTAATTGGTTTTACATCTTTAGGTGTAAGGACTACTGGTCCAAAAACTTTTCACTGTTATAGCAATTTTAATTTTGCCTCAATCGTATCTTTCCATTTTGGCCAATCCTTTCTTTGTTTACATTCACTGCTTGATTTTGGTTCATGATCCTTATTATCATTCATCACATCAAGAGCTACATTATAAGAGAAAATATCATCGACGTCGACTTCATTCGGTCATATCATATCCCATTCATAACATAATTAATTGAGATCTCATCATCTTCACATATTTCAGGTACCTCACTTTCACTAAGAATTAGGATGTTAGCGTTGTCTAATGACTCTACGCTAACTCTTCTAGAATTGCTAACTTTTCTAAATTATTCTTGACTAGGCCATCTATACTTTTAGCTCCTTTTTTCTTTCGAGGATTTTTATCTTTGGAACCGATGGGCCTGCCACGCTTCATGCGTGCTTTAGAATCATTCACAATTGGTTGTCCATCAGGAACATCAATTTTAATAAGAGCATTAACAGCTGGAATATGTGACTTTGTTACTCTTTTCAGGTCAGTAAATGCATCGGGCAATTGATTAGCTAAACTTTGTAAATTAACTATCTTTTAAACTTCCAGTTCACATTCTTTTGTTCGATGATCAAGATGAGATAGTGATAATTGTTTCTAGTTAATGTTCTTTTCCAACTTCTTATTTCTCCCCTCATTGTTGGAAAAATTGATTCATCAAAATGACAATATGCAAATCGAGCCGTGAGAATCTCCTGTTGAAGATTCTAGATATTTTATTATAGCTGAAGATTTATATCTAACATATATTCCTATCCTTCTTTGAAGCCCCATCTTGGTACATTGTGGGGGAGCAATTGGAACATATACAGCACATCCAAATGTTCTTAGATGGGATATATTGGGTTCTTGACCAAAAACCACTTATAAAAAGGAGGACTTGAGATAACTTGTTAGCCTGATGCGAATTAACATTGCTGCATGCAAAATTGCATGTCCCCAAGTAGTAATTGGGAGATTTGATCTCATAAGTAATGGTCTCGCAATTAATTGTAAATGTTTGATCAATGATTCTGCAAATCTATTTTGTGTGTGCACATGAGCCATAGGATGTTCAACATCAATCCCAAGAGACATACAATAATCATTGAAAGCTTGTGAAGTAAATTCACCAGTATTATCAAGACGTATTTTCTTGATAGGAAAATCAAAAAAATATGCTCTTAATCTAATTAATTGAGCCAATAATCTTGTGAATGCTAGGTTATGCGAAGATAATAAACAAACATTTGACCATCTTGTTGATGTATCAATTAGAACCATAAAATATCAAAATGGTCTGCATGGTGGTGTATCGGTCCACAAATATCACTATGTATGCATTCTAGAAAAGTGAGAGGCTCAATTTTTAGTTTTCTGGTGATAGTCGAACAATTAACTTTCCCTTGAAACATGCATTACATGAGAAAACATTGGATTGTGGTATTTGTTGACTTTTTAATGAATGTCTACATGAATTCTCAATTATTTTTCGCATCATAATTGTTTCAGGATGGCCTAACTAGTCATGCCAAACATTAAATTTGTTATTATTTATAAACTGCTAGTTTATAATGATATGTACTTCAATTGTACTAATAATTGTGTAGTACAAGCTAAAGAAAATGCAAGCAATCTTTCTAGTGTGTATTTTTTACCTGAGGTTGACTTTGTAATAGCAAAATATTCTTGATTTTCCTTAATTGTTGTTTCAATATAGTATCCATTCTTGCGGATATCCTTAAAACTCAACAAATTTCTTTTAGAGTTAGTTGAGTAAAATGCACTATCAATGTATAATATTGTTCCTCTAGGTAACAATATATTGGCTCTTCCGGAGCCTTCAATCAATTTTGCACTTCCAAATATAGTTTGAACATTGGCTTCTTGCATTACCAAAGAAAAGAAATACTTTTTATTTCTAAGTATTGTATGAGTTGTTGTGCTGTCAATAAGACATAAATTTTCATGATCGACGTCAATAGGAGCCATTCTTCGTTACAAGAAACATATTCAAGAGAGGAGGGAAAAAAAATAATAAAAAGAAAATACTCATAATTTTATTAATTTGGAAATATAACAACATTGAAAGTAGAAATTTTATAAAAGAAGATGAAAAAGGAAAAAAAATCATAGAAATTTAACTTCACTAAAGTAATTTATTGTTGAACATTCCCATCACCAATCAGGTGATCAATCTTTCTATTAGGATCAGCAAAGAAATCAGTAATATCCAAATGAGTGACATCCATGTTGCTATAATCAAAATCGCCTTCCTCATTATCAAAATTGGTTTCTACCC